ATGTTCGCAGGTGCCTGGTCCGGAACCATGTCTTTCTGGGAGTTTGAGTGCCCCGCCTCCACGACCACAGAGGCCGGGGCTACCGACACCAGCGGCACGCGCGAAGTGGGTGCTATGTCCATGAGCTTGTTGCTCCTTGCCTTCAGTTTTGCACGGCTCTGAGCTAGCCGTGGCCGTGAGAGCACGAGACGCCAAACTGTGCGACGTGCCCTCGGCTCTGTCCAGAAATGGGGTGAAACATCTTCGCATGACCCCGTGCTGTACAGACTCACAAGCCTCATCTTTCCAACCGATTCTAGAGCATCACTGCAAGGCGCCAGGTTGACTTGGGTCCAAGTTTACCTTGAACATGTATGTGGTTTTATGTGCTTGTACATTTTTACATAAGCAGAAGACATGGAGATACGTACATACATACATGCATACATGCATTTACATACGCAGAGTCATATATATACATATATATATATATATATACATACACAATCATACAAAATCTACATTCACACAATTATTCCTCCATTTTTCGATATATTTGTGATCACGTTCTCGTACTATTACAGGTTCCCCTACTAGTTCTTTTCGGAAGACATCAGCCCCGGGACGCACCCAAAACGATTCGTTGCTCTACTTAGGAGAGACTACAGTACCAGTGCGACCTGTTAGGGTTGCCTCACGAAGCTGGACGAATCTCGTGCTTGTGTAGCTGGAGCCTCTAGCAAACCATTGCTTAAGCTGCAACTTTGTGTCTATCCATCGATCTATCTATATATCGACCTATCGACCTATTCTCTTTCTCTCTGCGCTTCGGAGCTTCATGGTTGCCTCAGCATACCCTTTCCAAAGCTCTCCAAGGAAATCTAGCAGAATCCTAGGATCTAGTCTGGCAGATGTAAATACGTGGAAAAGAAGCAGTTAGGAATGGGAAAGTAGAACAGTGGACTCGGTGGACCCCCAGTAGTAAGTGTTGCCAGCCGGTACTTATGCTTTGTTTGGTATATTGCTGCCCGGGGCCAGGGGGAAGCGTTTAATATTGGACGGAAGTTCTCTTCATACATCTGTATGTATATATCACTGCCTATATCAAAGTAATCAACTGCTTACCATTTCCATGGACCTCCCTCCGGATGCATCGGCACCGTTCCCAACGGCGGGCATCGGGAGGGGTTGCAACTGCGACGCTTTGCATTTTTCGCGAACTCAACTGCGGCAAAGCTGCGGTATCAAAGATTTCTATACTCGGCTTGGGCCGGAGTGGCACAAGGCTTGCCAACTTTGGGACTCCGACGGGCTCTGACGGCCCTCGTGACGTGAAGTGTTGCCAGCATGTGCCAATCCGAGTCCACACGGCCGGCAGTGCGTTGCCTGTTTGGGCTGCCTGCGAATCTCTTGACGACGAACGATCTTGGCAGTGGGGGCGGCGACAGGTGAGGTGTAGCTAGCCAATCCCATGGCAGTTGACCTTCACCTGTAAATCTCACCACCCCCGCCTGAGTTCCGCAATGACGAGCAGCATAGAGACATTCAGCGCAGGGCACGTCAGAAAGCTGGGACATCTTGGCAAAAGATGATGGTAAGCCGATGTTGTTCACCCCCTGCCACCCCAGTGATAGCCCAGAAGACCCCACCTCTCTGCTCCGAGCCTTCTTGGAGGATGCATTTCTTGAAGCTTCATCCTGAGAACTCATCGAAGATTGTATTCAGGGTATAGTATGCATGCCTATGACGTTGGGGTTTCCATAACTCGGGCCCCACTATGGGCCCCAAAGCGGAATCATCCACGTTGTAAGAGCCTTCAACAAGGGACCTTATCTGACGGAAATCCGCACATATCGCCTTGAAGTTCTCTATAAAGGGGTTCTTATTTTGCAGAACTCCCGCATTTGTGTGCATATAGGCGTTAATTCAAATTGCAGGCCCCCTACGAAGCAGTGGCGCGTGCCTGACAGACTCATAAGTCAACCATGCGAAGCTGTTTACCGTTTTTTTGCTGGTGCACAGGTCATTCATTTCTGGACAGTGTTGCTTTGCCCCGCTCTGGCTCATCGGCGGCTGAGGACAAGCTTGCCAAAGTGCGTGCCGCTTCAGAGACCCCTGCAGATAGATCATCGAAGCCTTCGGTCTTGCCATGCTGCGTTCGCTGCTGACGCTGCTCGTTTTGTCGCGTGCCTTGGCACACCCGCGGCGACTGGGGAAGACGCCCTCCTTCGACTCCAGCAGTGCCAGGGAGACGCCAACGAACTTCAGCATGGTCTCCCGCGCGGCTTGACCGACCTTTTGCACGAAACCGGCCCGGTGAGCTTCTTACACACTCTGTTTTCTTGCTGTGCTTGAGGTCTACATTCCCTACAACACCTCGGATCAGGCGTTGGCATTCGGCATGGGTGCGGCCGAGCAGGTCGCCTACGACCACGTGCAGAAGCCCCTTGCCTGTCCTTTCTAATTCTAGGGCTGCAGACCTGACACTCCGCATCGCTCCGCTGCGACATCGTCGTATACAGCTCGCGTCTTGCTTCAGGTATGCTTACGCCGTCTCTGAGCAGGGAGTGCTCAATGTCATCGACTGGAACGACGTGGCCAATCCCCAGGTGCCCCGGCACGGCGATGGGGCAGCCAGCTGTCGTTTTGGGATGCGGCCCCCATGTGCAAGCGCTGCACTCTTTTTTCTCTCGCAACTCAGGTTCTGTCCAACTATGCCTTTGACTTCAACGGCGCCAAGCTCACGGACATCGAGATCTGCTCCTCGCAGGGGGTGATGTTCGTGGGCGCCGGTGCTGCAGACACCGTGAGCAATGGCCAGGTCCATATCCTGTCAACAGTCCAGCGAAGCTCGCCGGCAAAGCCCACGAGCTACGGCACGCTCGCCACGGGGCCGCTGCCAGACATGATCTTGCCCAACAGTGACTGCAGCAAGCTGGCCGTGGCAAACGAAGGCGAGGGGGAGTACGAGAGCGAGTTGGTCGATCCGCAGGGCAGCGTCATGATCATCGAAGCCGCCGATTGGACCAATCCCACCGCTGCTGTCACCAAGTCTGTCAGCCTGGCCGGCTACACTGACAGCCAGCTGATGGACATGGGCGTGTGTCCGGGCGACGTGAGGTTATAGTGCTTTAGGCGAGACCGTTTTTCAGAAACTGCAGATTGAAGAATGGAGTTGCTTACTGCGGCAGTGTGGCACATCTTCGGCCGAGGCACCTGCCATTGCCCCTGGATGCCATGGTGCTCCTCGGTCGCCCACGTCTAGGTCAGCAAGTCAGTCAAGTTGCTTCAGTTCGCAGACATGCCACGGCGCACTAAGTCACTAAGGTACTTTGATGACCATTCCAAGTGGAAGGATGATCTCAACTTTTCCGCTGCCCGGGCCTCCTACTCCTCTGCCATGATCCTCGGTTGCAGAGTCCTTGCACTCCTCCGGCCGGCGCCCGCGCGAAGTTGCGTTGACAGCTGCGCCTGAGGAACCTGGAGCCGGAGT